TTTATATCATGACACCATGATTTCATTAGGACAGGATTGAAATACCTGAAACACAGCATGGGACCGAGAAGAGGTGGCATTCATATCAGTTGGGTGCTGTGTTCTGTTTCGATTGCCAGAATCCAAAGCCTCAAGAATGTGCTCTGCAGATTTGGGCTGTAAAAAGAGAAATGGATGGTGTGGGTCAGTAAAAGGAACCATGTACAGGTAACTTAGTTGTATAAAACAATAATTAGATTGTATTTTTAGAAATAACTTTATTGGCAGATTTGATCAATTAGTGTTACTTGAGAAAAAAGCCAGTATAACATCTTATACACTACCTGCATAATTGATGCCAACACAAAGGTCAAGTTTCAGTTCAAAAAGCACACACTACCTTTATTTATTAAGAGAAAGACAATCACTAGAGAAAATCTGCTTCCTGATTTCCATCTCCTTCACACTATTTTTTTGGTAATATCTGAACAATTTAAATGCATTTTTAGACATTGGTGCTTGTCTTTCTTGACAAGACAAATTGTTTTCTAGTTTAAAAGTATACATTATATATTGCAAGAGTAACTGAGAGTGCCTGCGATTAAATGATTTTGTAGCAACAGCAGTATTTACAGTGAATAAGCCCTATGAAAAAGCAGTGTTTGTGACACATGTTGCTACTAACCTGATGCAATGTGAGGCCCTGAACAACCACTCCTTTAGAGCCGTCGTCTCTAACTGCAAGGGGGCCTGCGTTAGCCAACAGGTCTCGGATCTGTTCATTGTAAACCTGGAAAAAGACAATAAATATAACAGCAAATTCATTAAAAGCCAACCAAAGAGTTAGTCAGGACACACAAATGATTGTTAAGGCTCTGTACAGGATTAGTAAAACCCTCAAAATGTTTTAAAGCTATTAAAACAACCTATAACTGCTGAAGTGCCTGGAGACAAAACCAATGTGGTTCACTTTCCAAACAATAGAACTACTGAAACCCTTCAGATAAGGTCTAACACAAAATGGAAGGTCATACTCTGATACAGAGGATAAAAAGAACCAAAGATCAAGCAATAATACAAATAAAAAACACACTCAAATATTCACCTCAAGATATGAGAATGCAACAGCAAATTCCTTCTCTTCCTTGGCATCATCCATGCGTTTAAACAGCTCTTTCATGGTGCGGTACATGACCCCAGGTTCATTTTGTGCGCCTAACATGGTGTGGGTCTTTCCTGCTCCAGTAGCACCATAAGCAAACACTGTAATTGTAAAATGTTTCAATTAAAAGACAATTGAGTGACAGCAAAATAAAACAAACATACATATGATTTCTTACCACAACATTAAACTTGCTATGAATTGAACGCAACCACCAACTAATGTGAAACATGACATATGAGCAATTAAAGGATCAAACATTATATTTCTGAATCATACGTTGAATGTAAAGTGCTTGCTGTAAAAAAGCTGGCTAGAGCGAGCTTATAGTGCAATCATATCTTAATCAGCTTGAATTTAAAAGTGGTTCTACATTATGCAATACTGTCACAAACATCACCTAAATAACAAGCTTTGAACTCACACTGATTTATCTATTGACTAATAAAAATTGGCCGATATGAACCTTTCACAGACATATTGGTAGCTGCGTTTATTTTTGCTGTTATCAAAACTTTTATTTTACAGAATAAACAATGCAGAAATAATTTTTACTCATGTTTACTTACTTAAAATAACATTTTCTCAATTCAACTACTGTATATTTGTTTTTTGTCGGGATGATATATCTTCGCTAACTGTGGCTGCAGACATGATTGGTCTTTGATTATGGCTGCTTGGCTTATGTTGATACAATTACAAATTCAGCAATAACCATAACACAGCCACTGCTTCATCCACTACACTCAGACAGAGCAGCTCCAGCTGTTTATGTTACAAAAGGAGTAATGTGCAATACATAACATGAAGTGTCACATCATCTCTCCTTTCGGTTGCATCTGCGGAGCATTTCCTTAAACTGTTCCTATGGATGAGGGGGTATGGATAAATACTGTGATGGAATGCAAAACTAAATGTGAGGTAACGTAAAAGGTAAAGCAAAGGTTAAAAAAGGTAACACAAAACGTGTTGTAAAAAATGCAAAAGTATTGCAAGTATTGTGAGGAAACTTAAGTAATTAAGAAAATAAATCCCGCCGTGAACCCTTTGGTAAGTCTATGCTTAATAAACTATAAAAGAGAAGCAAGAGGTGATGTGTGATTCTCTTATTATCTTAACAGATTAATTAAGTTGTTAATTGTAATATTGTGTCACATAATCCAACATTAGACATGGAGCTTTAATTGCAGCTGTAACATTTTACCTGCATTCACAGATTTTTTTGGGTGCAGAAGAAACAAGTTGTCAACACAACATTAACCTATCATCACGTTTAATAAGGTTGACATGTGGAACTTGTTAGCAAACAGTGCTGCCAAACAGTTTGCCAACAAGCTTGGCAGCAAGCTGCAGCTTTGGCTGTGTTCAGACCTGGTATTAACATCTGTCCCGTGAGATCTGATGAGAAGTGGACAGCTCCAAGTACGTCAGTTCACACCTGGCATTAGAATGCATCCTGGATGAGTCTCCATAGACCACTTGTGATCAGATCTCACTTCCCTGCTCTATATGCAAATCAACACTTACGTCATTTGTGTTTGCAAAGACCAAATTATGTTGTTTTTAGCCAGTCCGAGTATACAGATGGGTCCGTTGTCAATGTGTTGGTGTGAGAGATGGAGACAGTGGAGCCAGGAGGGGCTGTGCAAATCAATGTAATGCATTGAGGTTTACAATGAATTAACATTTAACTCATTTGGAGAAAATATGTGTCAGTCAGAGTTAATGTTTTGGCAGAGACAAATAATTCAGTCTATGGGAAATGGTAAACATGTTTTCCAATTCAATATGAAATTGTAGCATGTCAAAAGATGTCATTTGAGTCGGCAGTCCTTCAATGTGGCCCAGGATACGTGTGTTAGCCATGCTCAAGAAAAGTGACCACATGCACATCAGACCACCTATGAATGTGGTCTATGTGATTGGGTCTGAAATGTGAGAAATTAGAGCCGTCCACTTGTATATCACTCAAGGCAAACGTTAATATCAGGTCTTCAATGCGGAAAGTGTTATTACCGATATGTTACCTGTGCAATTGAATCCATTCATCACACCATCCAACACTCCTTTAGTGGTGTTCTCAAATATGTCGTCTTGAGTAGAGTTCTCGTCGAAGACATGGTCAAAAACAAATTTAAGGTCCTTGTTGGCCTTCTTATTGATGTTTCTGTTTCTGTTTGGTGCTTTTCGAGACCCAAAACATGATAAGTCCTGCTCTTTGGGGTCAAAGATGAGCATGTGGTTATCAACAACCTGGACCACATTTCGGCAGTTCTCCCGCTTCTCGCTGTCATTGGTTGGCCTCACTCGAATGACCACCTTGACATGGCTACACACGTCACTTGCCATCCTGGTCGCTCTGAATCAATTTCAGTGTTGCTACAAAAGAGCAAAAAACAAAGGCTTAATTGAAACAACATTTAAAATCTAGAACACCAAAGTCACATTATAACAATATTCTGGTTATATTACTGGAGTACTTTAATGTTAATCATGTTGCAACACAGCATTTTTTTTTTATTGAGAAAAGAAACGCATCTTTCAGCTTGTATCAAATTCCCCTGGTGATTCTCACGCTTCATTTCTACTCATCACAAGGAAACTGATGCGCTAACGTTATTGCAGCTTAGAGGCAGTTTATCTCCCTTTAAAATTTCACTCAAATCCACTGGTACGCTATAACAAATTAAGCTTATCAACAGAGAGAAAACTGAAAATCATTTCTCATCTCAGTTGCCTCCGAAACTCAGCTGTTCAACTTAAAACTAAATTATCATATCAAATCTACCTATGCCCTTCCTCACAAGCTGGCAGTCCCAGTAACAGATAAACATGATACTGTAGTAGGGCAATAAAAAACATTAATAATTATTGCGATTTAATTTTTCATCAATAGCAACATGATGAACAGAGGTCTATATGTCAATATAATGCTTATGTATAGTGCAAGCACAGTGTGGAGGTTTAACACACAATGGATCTACCTCAGATTTGTGAAGTGTTTGTCATTATCTGAACTTAAAGAAGGTTTTGAAACCACAACCTTCACCCAGGAGCTTAACAGAATTAAAACATGGCTACGTTTACATTTAAAACGTGTTGAACAGTTAATGATAAGTCACATTCAGCCAATACAGAAGTTAGATATAAGAAACCATTTTACTGTTGATGTGTTGAAGTGCGACTTAGCATATTAGCACACGGTAAATACCTGAATGCTGCAACACAGCGCTTTTTAAAAGGTGAAGCGATTAAACATGGAGCCCAGGTTCATGGTGTCATTACTAAGTTGTTGTGCAGCTGAACAATGTCGAACACATTGACTTTACTTATATTCAACAAGTAAAACCTTAAAAGTTTAAAACAAACCAACACCCCAATGCTGTATCTTGAGGACGCGTACACAATACAAAGCAACATACGAACATGAATTGAAAAGGTGAATGTAGCTCTGTCTGAACATTACAACAATTCAGTGAAGGCCAAGACAAAGCTGCTGTAGAAGATAAAGTTGTCAAGTCATATAAAACAGCCATTTGAAGAAGAAATGGTGGATGTGTTACACGGTCGGCTAACGCCTGCTAGCTAGCCCTCATACAACGTCCAACGGCAAATTAGCATTGTTGTTACACGGTGTTTGACTGGTACACGTAAACAGGACTTACCCTCGAACCAGCAGTCGTTCTCTTGCGTTTCATCGCCACGGCAACGCTTTATGGTCGAAAAACAACTAGTTTGTGTTCGGATAAAAACACTACATTCGCTAGCACCGCTGACAGAGCGTCATGGCGAACACAGCAAGCGCCAATAATTTCAAAAACAAGCCCTCTTCCGTTGTCGCAGCGGATTGGATGTGAGCCGCTGGTCACGGGGCGGGGCCGCGGTGACGCAGGCGCCATGCTGCCGCTCTGGGAGGTGGAGCCACGGCCCCGGTCTACTACGGTAAGCTCCAGCCGACTTCCCGGAGGTGAAGCCACGTTTGTCCGGCACAGGTCACCCGGGCGAGCCGTGCTTGAATGTATACGAATGTGCTGCTTTGTTCCACGTGCTCATTGGTAGTCTGAGTAGCTAGCTAGCTAACTGTGCCGGGAGGGGTCACTCTCTAAACAAACATGTCGGGTGTTAGAATCCCACTGCTCATAAATACCGTCACAGCCACCACACACTGTCGTGACACAGGGTAAGAGACCTAATGTTCGCATTTGCTAACACTCATGTGTGCATGTGTTGCTCCACACAGCCATTTGCATACAGCTGCTCGAAGCTAGCTCTGGCATTTGTTTTTTTTAGTAAGGTAGGTTAGCTAATCTGCTCCACACCAACGCAGTGCTTTTGTTTGTTTCTAGTATTATTACCATATACAGTCTATGATTATTACATATACCAGCATAACACGATGTCAAGCGTTTGGTTACATTACATAAGCTAGCAACTACCCAGTGCTGTAAAGTCATGCTAACTTCCACAAACCTAGCTTCATGGCTAGCAGCTGTGGCAATGAGAGGAGATGTGGGCGTTGCTAATATCACAGGCCCTTGAAAAAAATACCAGATATTAATATTATTATTATTTTTACTCTCCACTTCATCCAGTCACTCATAAAACTATGGAACAGACTATTAAATAAACTTAATTATCACGAGAAAACAATTAAGTTCTACTCTTATGACAATTAAAGTAAATAACATACATGATTTCTCACAAAAAAGATTAGGAAGTGATACATGCTGCTGATGTGGCCAAAAATTATAACAAGATTAAAATGTTCATATCAGCCGATATTGATAATTGACGACTGACGATAAATGTCATTATTATTTCTTTAGGTTTGCTAGTATGTAAACTTTAAGTTTAAAGACTTAAAGGTAGTGGTTTTAAACCTTCTTTAGGTCTAAGCAAGATCAGTTTTGCGTTATACCTCCACATTGTGCTTGCACAATGTATAAGCATTATATATATATGACTTTTGTCATATTGCTATTGATGTAAATTATATTGTTACAAGTAATTGCATTGTTTTATTGGCCAGCCCTACTCAAACTATTCCTTCATTTATATGCTCTTCTGGTTAGGGATAATCCCACCCCCACCTGCAAGATGTTATATTCCATTTACGTTTATAAATGCAAAACAGTTGTCCTGTACTGCCGGTATAACCAGCAATCTGACAACAGTAACACATATGCACTCAGTATAATATTACTACCTATTCAAATACCGTGTAACTCTTCTGCCATCAAACACTTCTACTGTGTTCACCAATGTCGTGACCAAATGTGTTTGTTCCTTCAGCTTCTGAACATAATTCTATTTTATTGGAATCATGCATCTTAACTGAGCCCTTATTTTCAATACATCTGGTTGCCAGGAAACACCTGAATACCTTTTTAACAATGTGGCTGACTTTGGTGCATGGTGCGGGTGGTGTTGTTCATGTAAAATGTTAAATGAATCAGCCAAAGACGTACTTTCTCTCATTGTATGTGTGGTGGTGAAGCAGTATATGATCCAGAGAGAGGTGTTTTTTAATGGGTTCAACCCTTACAAGGGTTTTGAACTGGCTTAAAGCTGTGATGTCCTCTTGTTTTGATTGGGCATCCCCAGGTGGAAACCATCTGCTTTGAACAATTAAAATTTCTTTGCACACACACACACATACACACACACAGCATTACTTTATGTAACCAGAAACCCAGATAACATTATAAAAACGTAGTCAAATCTGTAATCACCTGCGACTTGAGACAATCAACATCTTACTTCAAGCTTCAAAATACTACCCATATTCTGCAGTATTACTTTTTCCCATGCCTCGTAATCAGTATTAACACTCATGACATTGCTTTCATTTTCTTCATAGATCATTGTAAGGATCATGATTTACCACATGTTTCTGCGCTCCAACCCAGTGTTATGGAAAACCCATCTGGCTGTGTGGAGATCGTGGAGGTCATGGAAATTAAGCCTGCACTCTTCTACAATCGGTGCATCATCTGGTACTGGTCACAGTGACAGATCTGAAGATCCGTGTTCTCCTTCCTCTGAAAACCCCCCTCACACGCCTGTTATGCTCAAAGAAGTGCTTCATAACTTAAACATCCAACCTGGTCAGGTACGTTTGCATCTTTGCTATTGGTGCTGGCTTTAAGAAAGTTGAAGTCTGTTCAAATGACATTTATTCAGACCAAATCAGTGTCATTTAAAAGTATTCACACAAAATCAATGGTATAATTTGACCTCCTCCTTATTAACATCATACACGACAATAAAATGTATTAAACGGTAAAAAGTTCATAGAATGTGTTTAGACTGGCAAATTTGATGGGTGACTAAAATGAATCCCTCAGACTGTCCAAACTGATATTTGCAAGTGATTAGTTTGTATTTGTATTTCAGGCATTGTGATCTGGTCTGCCTTGGTTGCCGTGGTAATGCAAACTCATACTGAGAGATGTTTTTTTTTTTCTTTCCATCTAATAGTGTCGGAACTTATTGAACACCTACCAGTGTCATACATGTCGATACAGCTCGATTCTTACATGATTCTTGCTGATTTGAGTTTGTGCCCTCATGGTTGAATACACGTATGTCGCTTTGTATAAAAGCTTAATGATATGTAATGTAATGTAATACAGCACCACCACTAACTACAATCCCAAATCTACAACAGAGTTGTATCAACAACACCAATACAGCATCAACAACGATTCATATTATAAGCTTCTTAAAGATTTTTTGCAGCACTGTTATGTTAGTTTTGTAATTAAAGGTCCCTTGTGTAAGATTTAGGTGAAAGGGTACTATTGGCAGAAATGTAATGTAGAATAAATCTCATGATGTTTTCACTAGTTAATTTCATCTAAATTGTATGAATTGTAGTTTTCTTTACCCTGGAAAGACCCTTTATATTTAAATACTTTACATTTACATCGAGGGGACCCTCTCTACGGAGGCCGCCATGTTTTTTACGTTAGTACAGACTGGATAAACTAAATACCTTTTGAGTTTTTATGACAACTAAAGCTACCACAGGTTCTTTTTCATGTTTGGAAGGAGAGGGTGTGATGAGGGGTGTTCAGATGCAACATGCAATTTCAACACTAGATATCACAAAAATCTACACACTGTACCTTTAAGACATTTATTGGTTAAAAAAAATTAATAAAACCAATGGTAAGAAGTAAATATCAGAGTATGTGAGGTATAATTCCTCTAATTGCAATCTGAAGATAACTAGTGGAAATAACTACTTAACTGATATTGTCTTTATTGAGATGTTTGTTTCTAAGATTAAAAAAAATTTGGTTCACACACTATATAATGGCTCGTTATAAAGGCACACAGGAAATTAGATAGGGTGCCAGCATCTTGGCTTTCCCTTAATGTATGTACTATGAGGACAGATGGGCATGAGTCAAAAGCCTTCTGGTGTGGCAAGCAGCATAGAAGGGGAAGTGATGCCCCCCTCCCATATAATGCATAGTCAAGGCAGGTGGGGGCCATGGGTCAACAACTTAGTCAGGAATTGCGCCACTGTAAGGCTGTTGGCAGGACACAGGGTGCTGCGTCGCTCCTGCCTGAACTTTAGCACCTCTAAACTCCTCCGCTGCCCGCCCATTTGCCAACTGTCCCAAGACAGCTTGCCAATCAGATGCTATTAAAAAACAGTTTGATAGATTTTTCTTTTTTGTACAGTTCATGCTGTTGGACACAATCACTTGACGCTCTGTGGAAATGTTACATGATTGCATTCAGATGTTTTAAATGTTATTTGTTGATTTATTTATTAACTTGATACAGATTATTGCAGTTTCATTGATTATATTATAGCTGCAACAACATTACAAAGATATTAGGGTTCTTGCACATCGTCATGTTACACATTCATATGGCTAATTTATAATTCTGTAGGCACAGCTAAATGCCCTGTCAGTCTTAGTCAGGCAATTAGAAATCTGCGTTCTAACATAACTCTCTGACACAGGCAAGTTTGTGGTGGTGGAGTGTTTGTGTCATTGCTGTGAAGAGGATACCCCTCGCAAATGTCCACTAAAATCTCTGAGGGCAGTGATATTAGTGGTATGAATGGCTAAAATAATCAGTAATATATAATTGTTCTTGTCAGCTGAAGCAGAGTACATATGAATGGAGTACTTAAGCGATGATGGGTGTCAGAGCAAATACTGCAGTTAAACCAAAGTGTGTAAATGGAGCCTTTCAGTGTCTTGCTGCCTCCCACACAGGACAGCTGGCTGTAAATGTGTTTGCAGGTAGGCAATTTCCACTGGTAGCCCGTAATATATTTTGATATAGAGTTTTACAACCAACATGCTTTTGTTC